TATTTGCATAAGTCATGGAATCTACATTTTGTCATCATCATCGTCCTGTCCCCATACATCCCAACACTGAGGCTAAATACTCCATAAATGTGAAGACTCCTGTGATACATCAAAAGCAAAAGAGATTCTAGAGCACAAATGAGTTCATGGTCATTTTTCACTGTGCTATCACTGTTAATTTTTTAGAATACTCATGTCCTATCTAACGTGAGAAAACAAAAGGAGACAGAAAGCAATGATATTTTTAAGAAAAATGAGAGTGAGCTCATTGCTTTGTGGAAATGAAGAGCAGCCCGTTGTCTTTAATATGCAGGCGACACACACGATGTCTCGCACCCAGCGCCACTGCAGTAATTTATGTTACCTCCCTGGCCCCTAGGACGTTTGCGTTTGCAACTGCTGCTGGGGGAAATGCTCATTTTCGCTCTTATTTATTAAACTATTCTACATGAGGAGCACTTAGCTCATCAAAAATGTTTTAAAATTTCTCTAAGTGACAAAAGCATAAATCCAAGAGCAATTTGTCACTTTTATAAGCCCAGAAAATACCAAACTGATTTTCTCATAAAGATCCTGCCATCAGTTAAATGGATAAACTATTCGTTTACGAATAAAAAATAGCCACACAGTTAGGCGTCTGCTGATGGGCCGATTGTTTATAGACATAATTGGACCTGTCGTGGCAGGGTGAACACCGAGTATACCAGAATGTACCTGTGATACCTCATTCATCCTGTGCTGATGCTTTTTGGGGTATAATCTGGGGAGACCTCGTAGCAGACCATTGTACATGCTCAGTACACGTGAGTGGATGCGGGTAGGTGGTATGGTGGGGCAGTGTATCTGATGGTACAGGTAGTACAGTGAATGTCTCTGTGCGGTGTGATTGATGCAGATGGTGCAAGATGTGAATTATCTCCCCTGGAATTATGCACACAGTGGCTTTGGGTGTGGCCAGGCTTATGCAGCTGAGGGTCCTTCATTTCTGCCTCAGTTATAAGATCGTTGCTCATTTACCCATTTTTCACTTTGGGCTTTCAGAGAAGCTTTAAATTGAGGAAAGTCTGTGGTTAAATATAAATTTGAATACTACTGTGCTAGATAAGTAAAAGAGTTTTTTTTTTTAAGCTAAAGTCAAATTTTTTTTTTCATGTTACTCAGTACCTTTTCCCTAAATGTGCCACAATTAACCACCAGGAATGGAAAACAAACAAAAAAAAAAACCCAAAAAACCAGTTACCCCCAATCTCTTACAACTTCTGCAAACATTCTGCATTTTCTTCCCATTTTTTAACACATGTGTGTTTATGATTTCTCTTTTGGTGGTTTTGCAAATTTACGATCACACCAAACATGCAGGTTTGCATTTTGACTCATGTATCCTAAGCCTGTTTGGTGTTTTCACAAGTTGAAGTCACAACTTTTAGTGCTCTTAGATACTAAATTATTGAATCATGATTTACTTAAACAAAGCTCTGGTATTTGGCATGTAGCTTTGCATACATTTTTTCTTTTTCTTTCTCTTTTTGAACTAAAATAATTGATCGTGTTTGAATCTTGGTTTGTAGCCCTAATACTTTCCTTTGGTAAATTCCTGGGATTACAGTTACAAGAATAAAAGGCTACTACTGTCTTTAAGCCTATTAGATGGAGATACTGTTAGGAAGAAAATGAAAGCAGGTCAGGGAGTGAAGGGGCCTTGTTATATTGGAAAGGATTTTCAGGCAAGACCTCCCAAAGAAGGTTTAGATTTGATTAGAGACTTGAATGAAAAGTAGGGTTGAGCCACAGAGATATCTGTGGGAAAGGCCTTCTGGGAGGAGGAATCAGCAGATGTTAAGGCCCTGAGGTTGAAACCTGCTTTGAGCTTTCTAGAACAGGAAGGAGTCCAGTAGGGCTGGAGTAGAGTGCACAGGGGTTACTTGGGGAATCTAAGGTGGGAAATTATTTGGGCACCAGACCAAGGAGGGGTGTGTTAGCCTTGGTAAGGACTTTACATTTTGTTCTGAGAGTCAAGGCTGTTGAAGGATTTTGACCTAGGAATGGATACAGTGTGATCCGCTTGTGGAGAATCGACTGTAGTGGCAGGAAGAGAAGCATCCGACAGCCCAGCTAGTCGAGAGGCTACTGCTGACGCCCCAGGAAGGAAATAATGGTAGAGCAGCAGTAGCAGAAATGTCTTGTACTCTGTGGATGAAGCAAAAAATGAACCACAAGAAAATACTATGCGTGTGTGTCCATGCGTAGTGTGTGTCTCTGTGTTTGTGTAATTTTAATCCGCTATTTTGGTAGGAAAAATTTCGTTATATTCAACTTTGTTATTAGTGGCATAGAATATTTGTTCAGTTGTTTAACTGCCATGTGGTTTTTTCCGTATTATCTTGGATGGGATTTTATCATCGACTTAAATGAGAGCTTGAGTTATTCATGTTACTCCCCCAGATCATCGTATTATTACCCTTTTGTCTATCAAATTTGTGGCAAGTATTTTCCTAGTTTGTTGACTCCTGAATTTTGTGGGTGATTTATTTTTATGTAAGCTTTCAGTTTGAAGCCAAGCCCTTGCTTGGTGATCGTGGCTTTCATTTCCCGTGCGCCAAGATTGGTTCAGGAAAGCTTTCTTTGATTTCCAGGTGCTGAGACTCCTTTGGTTTCCGTTTCCAGAGGCACTGCCGCCAGGGCTCTTTCTGGTTGTTTCCTCGCTAGAAATAATTGACTTATGGACCCCAGCCAGACTTTCCCAACTTCCTGACCAGCTGTTTGGGGGGAAATATGGAGAAAGACTTGAGGTAGAGACAGGAGGGGACAGCCCTGTAGGAGCTAGAAATAGCTGGAGCTGGAAATTAACAATCAGGAAACCAGGTCATTTACACTCAGGATGTCTGTACCAGGAGAGTGGCTTGGAACAAAAGCTCCCTAGACCTGCTTTAAGATGACCAGTTTCGTCTTTCCAGTGACACAGCTGTGACAGTGGTTTTTAAAACCTATTGGCTTCACCGTCAGTGTTTCATCCCAGATGTTGGTGACAGTGTGACGCCCAGCTCTTGTTTTCCATTGGTGACATGGATTTACTTCTTTATTTCCATCTTACGCTTTCCGTGTAGGATCCATGAAAGAAGAGGCTGTGCCGATTTTGTGTATCTCACTTTACCCAACTCTCAGGACAACCGCTGATGTCCATTAAAGATTTGGTTATTTGTCAGATGAATGAATGAATGAGTAGCTGGAACACATGCAGTATGAGTGAGGAGTGAAGGATATTTTGTCATGGACTGCTGGTCGGATGTGTTTTAAAATTGCTTCCCCTGCCTGCAGTGGTAAACAGAGTAGGGCTTTTGGGCTCTGGGTCAGGGTGAGCTTTTCCACCTCCAGGCTGGCACGTGGTGATGCCTTGAGGAACTCCTGGGGTTTGAAATCCAGCTTGCTTCTTTACCTTGTGGTCCTGCCCCATGTCACTTTGTCAGCTCTTTATGTTTTAAAGCAGTTCTTGAATCTCTTTTTTTGGCTCTTTTGGCACCATCTTCTTTTCTGAAATTGACCTCTTCCAGGATAGATTTTGGATGGCTGATGACTTTGGTATTCTGTATTCTCATAATGGGGATGATACTTGGGATAAATATTGAAGTTTAGTTATAGATTTTCTTCTGATACATAAATCCTTTTTATTAGAAGCCAAAAATATTTATTAAACAAAATTGGTAAATCAAATAACAGGTGTCATTTGATTATTGGTGATCAATGTGAATTCTTTCAATTTAAGCATGAAATGAGGCATTTTCTTCTAAAACTAACTTTTATTTATCTTTGCTAATAGTGGGCAGGGTATGGTGAAGAGAACCTGGGTGCACGTGCTTCCATGTGATGTCTCTTTGGTGTAATCACTGCTGTTGCTTTTTGTGTTAAATTACAGTTTGGATGTGTCTGCTAAGTTCCTGTGTATACCACATGCTGGTAGCTAAAGCTAAATGGTAATTGTCAAACAAAAGGTGTGTCTAGTGCTACCAAGATGGCACCAGAGAGTGGAAATGTTGAGATATGGTAGCAGAGGACAGAAGAGGGAAGGAGGGAATTTTGTTCCAGGAATACTGCTCTGCTTGATTAAACAGGGGAGCCAGAGATGATGTACCCCATTTGTGAGGAGGAGGAGGGTCCAGGGAGCAGGTGGTCCCATCTGTGTCTTCCTCAGGTATCCAAGGAAAGAAGTTTGGACTGAGGGTAGGATTAGAGTGGAACTGGAAAAAGGGAAGCAAGCTAGAGAAGACAAACCAGAGATGGGACTAGTCTATGCTCAGAGGATGTGAAAATGAACTCTGGAAGGGAGGCTGGGGCTTAAATACGTCAGCCGCCTAATTCAGCCTAAATGTCTGCTGAATCACTGAAGGAGTGACATAGATCATCACCAAAGAAACAAATCCCCGAAACCAGACTACACTGAAATCTGAGTTTATCTCTGTGCCTGTGATTGCCCAGATCTTTGCTACATTGGCCTTTTTCTATTATTAGATCTTTATCAAAATGTATTTAAATGAAACATAGTCACTTCAAACCGTGTCTGCCAACACAGTTTCCTCTCAGTACAAAGTACAAGTTCTACACATACGTGTCAATTTTTGTGAGCTCCATTTTGGATCAGTTATGGAATTATCACCATCATCATCAGAGTTGTAGTACGATGACAGAAAATGAAATGACCTAATTACAGTCTTTTCTCTCCTCCACTGCATTTCTAGAAAGTAGGTCAAAGTCAATAGGATATTTATGTTCTTTTCCAGCCTCCAGTTTATTGACTTGGAGTATTCATTTCTTGAGTGTACCAAATGGACAAAGTCAAAAGGATGAGACATGGAATAAAGATTTTTAAAAATCATTGCTGTTGCTCTGTACGTTTAGTACATCTCTCTCCCACATGCCCTAGCTGCCCATCTTCCAATTCCAGGAAAGTTTGTCTTTTTAAAGAAATTTTCTTTTAATGACTTGTAAGCATTCTCTTCTTCTGATAGGTAGAGTGGCTGAAAAATGAGGAGCCCATTGACTCTGAACAAGATGAGAACATTGACACCAGGGCGGACCACAATCTCATCATCAGGCAGGCGCGGCTCTCGGACTCTGGAAATTACACCTGCATGGCAGCCAACATCGTGGCCAAGAGGAGGAGCCTGTCAGCCACAGTGGTGGTTTACGGTAAGACCAGCCCAAAGGCCAGGAATGGATAGAGAGGACAGGGAGCAGAGAAGCAGAGGGGTGTGTGTTTGATTAAAGCTTTCAGTGTTTATGACTGAAAGGCCTTTGGGGGCCATCCACTGCAGCCCTCTCTCCTGCCTCCCCTATTTGGTAGGCGAACACAGATCCCTATAGCTATGAAGGTGTTTGCTCCTTCATCCAACACTGGACTTCCAGGAGAGAGTCAGTGAGATTTCCAGTCTCTTTTCAGAATCATTTGAAAAGTTGTATATTTCCTTCCATTGTGTTTATCTTGGAAAAGAATTGAGGTGGGCAACTTCCACTTCCCACTCCTCCCAAACCCAGCATCCAGCCCCATCCTCCCCAGACGTGCTGTCTGTACTTCCTCCTCTGGCACACAAAATCCACCAGAAACAAACATGACTATTTGTTGACTATCTGAGGTATTATGTAAATGAAATTCCCACCTATTTAAGTAAAGGAATTCCCTTCCACAATAGAAGAGCCCTGGGATTTCCTTTAGAAGCACTTAAAGTAATAGAAATTCAAGTACTTACATTTTCTCATACTTTGGATTTCCAAGTGCTTCCGAGAT